TATCGTTTACTAAATTTGTATAGATATAGATATCGTATTTGTTTCAAATTTAATTGATTATTGCTTATATTAGATCTTAACATTCAATGGGTAGTTAATGTGTTAAAATAAAATTGAAGATTTTACTTTTTTTCATTAATACAGGCGTAAATGAGTTAAATTTTATAAATTTTGACATTGTAAAATCATTATTAAAATAAATTTATGCATAACACTCATATTTAGCAGTTAATGTGTTACGTAATATATCAATAATTCTTGATAATTTCAAAATAGATCAATTTTTGGAAATATTGCGAGAAAAATATTTGAGATATTTTATAAATTTCAATCTAAATCTTATATTATATTGATTAAGTAGTCAATGTGTTAAGAAAATATTCATAAATAATAGTAATTTATGGTTTACTAATTTTTATAGATATAAATATTACATATAAGCATAAATAAGTTTAATTTTGGAAATTTCGACATCATAGAACTATTATTAAAAGAAATTTGGTTATAACACACTTTATAGTTAATGTGTTAAGTAAAATACAAATCAATCTTTATAATTTGAAAATAGATGATTTTTTCTTAAACTTATCATCTATTTTCAAATTATAAAGATTTATTTGTATATTACTTAACACATTAACTATAAAGTGTGAGAGTTCTAGTTCTAGTTCTAAGTCTAGTGTGTCAGTTTAATAAAGATATACAACAATGTGGCGCCGAATAACAAACAAAACTAGAACTAACACTAGAACTAGAAAGTTTCTGAAGACGCACGCTAAACCCGAAACTTTCTAGTTCTAGGTCTAGTGTTAATTCTAGTTTTAGTTCAATAACAACATACAATCTAGCACCATCTAGTGCTTACTAGCACTACTTGATACTGTCACTAGAACTAACACTATACCTAGAACTAGAATCATTCGGGTTTAGCCGTTCGTCTCTCAAGACGGCTAAACCCGAATGTTTCTAGTTCTAGGTATAGTGTTAGTTTTACTTCTAGTAATAAACTAGGGGACTTTAAAGATGTCCGGAAGCTTTCTAATGGTCTCTATAGTTTAGCTTTAACGTCACTTTTAAAACATTACTCTAATAAAAATCGCAGCTGGGGATTAATTCATCCATCCTTTCGTCTGACCTACTATCTATATGGTGTTAAAAAAACTTCAACCAAAAAAAGTTGAACAAAAAAAAAAAGAAATAAGTTTGGTTATGCAGTAGTAACACGAAAATTCGATTAAGTTCGGCTGTCCTCTCCGCGTTTTTTATCTTTGTTTCAAGTAAACAAAACGAGGGGGCGCGCTCTCGGGAGCCCTCCCGGCTAATACTTGGGACAATATTTGGTCGCGGCACCATCGCGTCGCTTTTAGTTTCGCCGCGTTCGTTTGTTTGATCGATGTTCGTTTGTTCTACGGGCTAGATTTACGGTTAATGTGTTTCGGACGACCATAGATTTTTATATTTTGTATATCCGATATAATCGGTCATATCGTTTTTATTTATATTTTCATAATCAAAGGTTCCATCAAGAAATTTATTAAATCAATTTTGTTTAGAATCGAATCAGAAACAAATTTCGTTTGAAAAATTTTTCGAAATTTTCGCTTGTTTACCCAATATATTAGTACAAAGATATCTTAATTTCCCTCTGAACAGTACGGTAATGTAAAGTAATTCGCATTGACTACTTAATTCATATATTATAAGCGTTAAATCGAAAATTTTTGAATATCAACAAAATATAATGATCTATTTTGAAATTATAACAATTTATTCATACATTACTTAACACATTAACTACCAAATATGATCAAATATCTTTTAGTAATAATTCATTTAATTTTATTGAATTTATTTCATTTACACTATATTATTGAAGCAAAGATGAATCCTCAATTTTTTTTAACACTTTGACTACCTATTGCGTGCTAAGATCTCATATAGCGATAATAATAATTAAATTTTAAACTAATAGACGATCTATTATATCTATAATAATTAGCGAACGATAAAGTATCATTATTTATTGATATTTTCTTAACACATTGACTATTTAATTAATATATTGAGTGTTTGATTGAAATTTTTGTAATACCCCAAAAATATTTCTTAAAAAATAACCGAAAATGTATACACTTAGTAATTATAAAGATGTATTCATATATAACTTAACACTTCGATTACCCATTATGTGTTAAGATTTAATATACCAGCGATAATTAATTAAGTTTGAAGCGAATTGAGTATTTGTATCTATAAGAATTAAGTAAACGATAAATTATTATTATTTAGTGAAATTTTCTTAACACATTGATTACTTAATCGCCGTCTAATAGCCGTCTTGAGAGACGTGCGGCTAAACCCGAATGATTCTAGTTGTAGGTATAGTGTTAGTTCTAGTTTTGCACTATCACTAGAACTAACACAAGACCTAGAACTAGAATCGTTCGGGTTTAGCCGTCTTGAAAGACGTGCGGCTAAATCCGAATGTTTCTAGTTCTCGGTCTAGTGTTAATTCTAGTTTTACACCAGCACTATCACTAGAACTAACACAAGACCTAGAACTAGAATCATTCGGGTTTAGCCGTCTTGA